TCAATGACTTGAAACAAAGAGAAATAAGGCAGATACATCCACTATTCTTTCAGATTAACAATATTTTTAGCTGTCCGCTGTAGTTTCTAGAGTAAAAGTTGAACTTCCACCCTTCCTTAGACTTTCCTTTCTTCATCTTTATGCTCTTTTTTTTCTCAACTGCCCACACACACACACACATTCGTCCCTCCCTTAACATTTTCCTCCCTTGCCCTCCTTCCCATTCCTCATCAGTGGAGGTGTCAGGACTCTAGTGCTGCAGTGCCATCTGGGCCGAGGCTGATAAAAGCTCATGTGCCGGGCCGGCGATGCCTGCAGGTCTGCCAGTAGCCAGCGAAGCCTGACTTTCAGAGGCGATGGGAGAGATTTGTGGCAGCCAAAGAAGGAATGGCATGCCGTTAACGTGCTGATCCAGCGCATCACCTCTGTCTATCTGTCAGTCAGTCAGGCTCTCACATGGCCCTGCACTGGCCTGAATCCTCACTGACAACAGTGTCTTTTTTCTCAAGGAAAACCATCACGAGACAGGCTTTGTGATCTGTGATCTCCCTCATTGCAAATATGCTTTATGTCTCACATTGGAGAATGCCGCGTAAGTGACGTAATTCGAACCACTCGCGTCAAGCAGCACAAAGCAGATCGCAGTGACAGGCAGTCAGACACAGAAACAGCATAGACAATCGAGTCAATTTTCAAAGTAAAACACCGCATGCGGATTCTGTATCAAAATACACAAGTAAACTACATATGGCAGGCAACGCGTTCTGAAGACGCTATGCCTCTGAAACACTTTTGGTGGGATTTGAAGAAGTGCAGATTACGAAGCAAAACCGCACAACAGTTATAGGCACAACGTTATAAAGCTGTTTTCCGGTGGAATTTCAGGGTTAGAAGCTCCTAGCTTAAGTCACCCATGAGAACTTAAAGACATGGGCCTTCTGTGTCTGGTTCTTTTTCGAGATGCTTCATTAATGACGGGCAAAACAATCTGCTTTCTGTTAATGAAGCTGGGCCAAGAAACGTAATGCTGGTGCCCCCTTTCCTGGGAATTACAAATATACCTCCTCAAGGTCATTTACTCAGAGATGGCCCTGCAGGAGAATGAAGACCTCCTGTTTAATTTAATAATATCCCAGGACCTCAGTCTTTGTTTGCAGCTGTCAAAAAAATATGAAAAAGTGCGTGCCTTCACTCCTGTGGTTCAATGCTTGCACCGGCTGTGCAGTGCCTACTAGGGCACAGACAGTCCTTTGTACCTCTTTTAGAGGTATTATATATCCATGGTATAAAGAAAATGTTTTTCCAGCAGGAATGCCCCTGGAGTGACCAATCTGCCTCAGTTCCACTCAGGTGGAAGAAGCAGTGGGCCTGATAATTTTCTTGGATTTGAAGAGCAAGTCTGATTCTCTGTTATGTTTTCTAGGTTATGAATACCTATATCTGCATCCCAGTATGCCACCCACAGAAGACATATCAGGTTTGCTTCGGTATCTAGTCCTCCAAAGGTGTTTTTAAAATGCACTGAGGCAGGAGAAAGACCTCTCAGGTGGCTATAGAGCCTTATGGGCACAAATGTCAATGATTGGCTTATTGCAGCACCCTTAAAGCAACCACAAAGTCACACAGTGAGAACTTTCAGAGTGAATATGGAGAAAAGTTTTCACTCTGCAGCTGAATGTGAAGAGTTGAACTTATTGAAAAAGAAGGTGTGGTGCCAGCCCAGTTTCTAGGTGGAGGGTTTCCTCCCTCTCTCACTCTTTGGATCCAGCTAATCCTGGCTGGTGTGGTGTGATAGGAGCTTCTGAAGAGATGCTCTCTCATGCTACTCAGAGAACTGTGGTTATGGAAATAACCCAACAGCATCGGTCAGAATTAGCTTTTTACCCTATTCTCCTCTTTTAGTTTTCTTTTTTGTTTCACTGTGTGAGCAAAAGGAACTTTTTTTTGACCAAGTTCAGTCTGAGGTCTATTTTTGCATCCATCCATCAATCACGGTTGCATTTTATTGGCTTTATTAACTTTGATTTTGTGCTACTTTACTCTAAAAATACTTGCCGTGACATGAAAATGTTTTATATGAAGTAGTGTTAGGATATTTTTTTTCGCGCCAAAAGTCACTACTTCCTTAGGCCAAGTTGGCAAAATGGCACACTGAGCATGGTTTTATTGATAAAAAATGCATTTCCTATTACATTTCTTATCTGAAGCTGTAAAACACAACGCCTACGCCCCATAAAGACTTAATCTGAATATAATGGAGTACAAATACAAACTAAGTGAAAGATGTGTAGTGCTTCGACTGGCCAACGTGTGATTTATTCATGTCCTCTTCCACAACGTCATTATTGATTATAAATAAATGTGTGACAAACAAAAAAACAAAATAGTTACATTTATTGTTTGAGCACCCTGGTTTTTCACCTTTTGGTTTCTTTTTGTTAGTTTTAGCAATCTAAAGAATGCATGTTTTCTTCCTGTGAATGTTGGGCTTGTTTCCACAGACAGAAAGGTGAGGAAGGACATGCATTAGGTATGAAAACCTGAGGGGTTACTATTAAGCTCATGGATTAAGGAATCAATGTAATCAATGGAACGTATGACAAACACAATAAGGCAAACATTTGTCTATGTGTAATTGTTCAACAGGTCTGGACCTGAGGCACGCCCAGGTGGTGGCGTTATCCACGGGCACCAAGTGTATCAACGGGGAGTATCTGAGTGACCAGGGACAAGTAGTCAATGACTGTCACGCTGAAGTCACGGCCCGCAGAGCCCTGCTACGCTTCCTCTACTCTCAACTTGAACTCTTCTTGAGGTAATAGATCTGTCTTTTGCTGTAATATTCTTCATGTGCTGTACGTGCATTTTCTGCTGCTTTGAAATCCCTGTGATAGTTACATTCATCCCCTGAAATAGCCAATAATGCTTGCTATAAGTAGTCGATTGGTGGTCTGGAAGACTAGCTTATTATTGAAAAATCAAGTCACCAAATCTCATTCTTGTTTGTGACCGTATACTTGTGAACTGACTTACTATTCCATTTAAGACAAAAATGCTTAATGAATTGTTGATTCTTTAACTTTGTTTAATATCAGAAAATAATTAAAGGATTATGTTGATGATTGTTTGGGAGTAGGCCTACTAATTATCTTAAACTCAAATATATTTACTTAACTATCATAGGAGGAAGACAACCAACAAGTATTCACAAAAAGAAAATAGAGCCAGTGATGTTTTGCCAATTTTGTTCATAAAATGACTTAAACCAATGATCTATTATCAAAATAGCCCATTTACTAATATTAATCTTTACTAATCATTTCAGTTCTAAACCAAAGTTGATATTGATTTGTATTATATGAAGCTCTAGAGCTGCTACAGATTCTATCAGGATCATGTTGGGTACAATAAATGTAACCAGTGGTGGAACAACATCAAACACTTATTGTATTGTATTGTTAACATACAAAAAGGTGCTATGATCCCAACTTCCCTTCATTGACTGACTTCCTATGCAAAGGGTCACCCTGCTGGCTGTGCTTAGATTAGGAAAAATAATTAATATCCTCCATATTTAAAGAACATTTTTACCTCAGAAAATAAAAACAGAAAAACTGAAATGTGTATTATATATTTGTTCTAATAATATTTTGTATTTTTTACTAGAAACATCTGGTGGACCAAATTGAACCTCATGGCAGCAAACTTTGGGCAGCCCTGATTTAGAGGGATCTGTTGGCAGAATATGGCAGACATGTAGCAATACAACAGTAACAAATATTCCCTTAATAACTATTACATTCAAAACAGATTATTCCTGTTACAGATTAAATATTAAAATCATTGGCAGTAAAACACAGCCTTGTTCAGTTTAATACACTTTCTGCACTGCTAACATCAGTTTGCAGTCTAAATAGCTAATTAGCTGTTCAGCTGCAGCACATTAATGTAAACGTACCTGTAAATGTCACTTGGGTCCGGTTAGAAGCCGGTGGAGGCTGTAGCTCATGTTTGTTTACTTTGTCTCTTGTTCTTATGGTGTAACACCAGCAATGTGGCAGCTGCTGTCAATCAAACAGACAAGGACACACCCCTCCAGTCATCTGAGAGAAAAAGGGAGTATTTCTTATATTTTCCCAAAGACCTTTTTTCTTCTTTTAATAATAAAAAAAACTATCAGTGCATTTAAATGTGATTCACGTGATTTTAGTTGGACTTTAAAGTGGCCACCTGACATTACTTAGTCAATAATAATAATAATAATAATAATCTCTAGTATTGAAAATACTCATAACACATGACAATTGCCCTTTTCAGTGTTACATTATTATAAAGTAGAGAATTTGATTATTATTACTGATGCATAGGTATGTACATCATCATATTACTGTATTGACAAGTATTGACAAGTTAGACCGTTGCCAACATTATGTATAGGCTTTATTTTCTTTAGTTTCTAAGGTGCCTCTAACAATTTTAACGTGCACTACAGTATGCTTAATAGCATTAAATATCTTGTTTGTTGTGACCTCCCCCTGCAGTGCCAAAGACTGCTCTCTCCTCTGTAATAAGCTCCATGGAAACAGCATTGGTTTGTTCACCAGAGACCTTTCAATAATCAACGAGCCATATGTGCACTGTTCTCTCCAGCTAACTAAGCATAGTATCACACACTCAACTGGTTCAACTCGGGGTCTCAATGGTCTGTTTGTTTTTAGTACTTTTTTAAATGTATCAACTTTGTGTGCCTTTGCAACCTGTAAAGCATGCTCTGGTGCACACAAAGTCTCACCAAGATTTTCACCAGTCTGAAGAGACAGTCGTGATGATTTTTGACTCCTACCTGCCTCCAGTGCATAAGCATATATTATGTTTTTGAGCTCCCCGAGGAGCTCGATAGCAAGGCTGATTCATCAGATTAGTGGCTAGAAGTCTAGATCGTTGAATGTCATATTTGCATACACAGCACTGACTTTTTGTCTTAGCACAATGCTGGATGGCAGGT